TCCAACGTTCCCGATCCTGTGCCAGAGTCTGAGCTTCGGCAAAAGACAAATGCAGTCTGGAACAGACTCCCTCCATATACTTGCACCAGCTAGATTAATCTTAGCCGTTCCCTGGGCTTTCAGTCGGTCAGCGGCGAAAGAAGCAGTTGCTTCGCTTTCCTTGCTGGAGGCATTCAGAACACACGCCCAAACCCTCGCATCTGTGACTATTCAATCTGAAGAAGCAGCGGCTGCACCCAAAGGCCATCACGGATTCTTGTACTCCGAACCGTGTCGAGACGCGCAGCATCAGCGATTCCCCTCAGAATGCCCATTGCAGCCGCTTGTACCTGGGACAGAAGAATTTCAGTCATCGTCAACGACTCATGACCGTAGGTAAGCAAGGGATGAAGATCGACTTAAACACCGAGAGCTTAGTCTTCAGACTCAGCTCTGCTTTAGTCCACAACGGTTCGGGCTTGTGGTTTCAATCCTGATCTAAGTATTTCTCCTAGGAGAACGAGAAAGCACTAGGCTTTTCATTTTAGATGCATTCACATGCATGACGGCCATGTCGCGTTCGCTTGTGAACCTCTCCATAGAGCATTGTAGATCAGTTTCAGAAGATACCAACAGAACAAGGCAGTCTGTAAACAGCAACCTTCTATTTTCGACATCTACTAAGCTAATACGTTTATCGCCCTGGTTGCGCCTGACCATTCTATCCATGTACAAAAAATAGAAGAGGGAACACAATGCACCCTTGGCAAAGACCAGTGCCAACGCTGAAATGCATCGACTGAACGCCATTTACTCTGACGCAGTACCTGCTAGAAGCATGTAATGATTGGATGGCACGTAGCAACTGGTCATCGATCCGATATGTTCGCAGGCATGCCCAAAGTCCACAAAGGACATGGATGGGCGAACTCCCACGATTTCTCAACAATCTGACTTAACACGAACATGGTGAGAAGTGGCTCAGCCAGAACTGAAGCCACACTACCCTTTCTGCACTTCAGAGTCGGTTATTCCGCGGCACCACTTTCCCAGCACCTTGGCGCAGACATTATCCGGGAGGCTGAATAAGGTAATGCCCCGATTATAGAACTGTGTATTGTCTCCCTTTTTGAACAGGAGAACTACAATACCCGTTCTCCAGTCCACTGATGACTTTCCCGTAGCCATTGCAGTTTGACAGACACGGGTAAACCAACAGATGTCTTGTTCGCCTAATACTTTGAGCATTTCACGGCGGATTTCATCGAGTCCAGCAGAGCCCAACAGTTTCCTTAAGAAATAATAGAGTTTTTATGTTTTTAACCGTTTGTTAAATCCAGAAAAAAAACTAACAAAATTTGTTCATCATGTTGTCGACTATTTGAACTGAGACAGCAAGTTAATGGGAGGGATGGACTAAAAATGTAGATGATGAATGATATGAGACTAAGAGAGTATAAAATCCGTAATATAACTTTGACGATTAAGCCGGAGACATACAGTATAGGTTGTTCAAACCTTTACGTTCAAATTATGATCCCTCTGAATAGTGAGGGAATTTGTCGTTAGTCTACTTGATTCCATCAGTAACACCCACTGTTTCTCGCCTTCTTTCCATTTTCTACGATCGTTTGGTTTCTCATGTTTAATTTTTTAACATCTCTTACCTTCAGTCATGTTCGTCATTTCGATTTTTTTACGTATATCGATGGTAAACCTCTTGGGAGTACGCACTATTGAAAAACAGATATAGAGCTAATTGCAAAAAAAACCTTAAAAAATTTTGAGCTTTTCAATCATCAACAGTCGTCGAACTTTCGATGAAATTTGCTACCGTATTAAACCCGTTAAAAAAATGAAAGACGCGTCACAAGTTTCCATAGCTTGATGACCGTGCTTCAGTAACCGAACTGCACTTTCAGAATGAATCATTCCCGTGTCAAATATCTTTTGTTAAATCAACTGCTAATATTGAAATTTTTGCAACGGATAAAATAGTTAATTACAATTCCTTTGGTAAAATGTTTGGTAAATTATAACTATCAACCCATCACGATCCTTTTCGATTGTTTTATATGTTGTTATATTGTAATCTTAAAGTAAAAAATAGCTACTAGCCGCCAATGCCCTTCCTTTTCATTCTGAGGAGCAAAGAAGCAGATTGAAATTCTACTTAGATAAAAATTAGTCAGTTATGTAATAAAATATGCACTGTCCAAAAAAACAACTCGAATATAATTTCATAGAATTCAGACAGTCCTGCAGAAAGATTCAGCAATATGAATAATTTTTGAAATAAACCGACCGGGTGAAATACCACCTAGCCGTTGCCTACATAAAAGGCCTCATGGGACATCTAACATAAAAGAACTAAATTTTAGGAGAACCACCGATGCCATCACACGTTGCAGTCGATCGCGAGTCTTACTATTTGCGCGTCTATTGGAGGATGCCCCCTGCAAGAGAAGACACGACGGTTACCGTGACCGTCTTTCGCCTGGAATGTCGTAATTTGACCAACGGACAATGGGTGATACTCAGCGAACGTACGTATGAATTACCTCCTCATGGTACCTTCTAAAAACAAAATGTGCGTCTTTCATTGCAGATATTCCGTCAAGCATTAATGAAGTTCGTCTGTCTGACGGTATGTCCCCGTATACCTGGTACAGTTTCCGCGTATTCGCGAAAAACGACTTCGGTTGGAGTGCAGCCAGCTTAGCTACCGCCTGGATACGAACAAATCCAGGTGGACCTAAATTTCCGGTCTCTCGCTTAAGCACTGACGTTGCAGGTCCAGGTGAAATGAACATTATTTGGCAGGTAATTAAAAACCGCTTAAAAGTCGCTTTTACTGGCAGATTATGATGGCCTTAAAAATTAATAAAGAACTATAAGTTGTATTGTGATCAACAAGCGCTAACGCCTCATCAACCCGGAGTTATGCCATTACATCCACTGATCAACTGCCATTAATCTCTGTGAAGTAGATAGCTGAGTACATGTAAAAAGGAGATGGCAACCTCCCTGTTGTAGTGTCACTAAAATGAAGCGAATGAAAGGCCGACATTTCTGTTGTCATGTACTTACAAGCTGAATGGTTTTCTGAACATTTAGCCATGAGGATGTAAGGCAACAACGCCGTAAATCTGTTTGCTTGGATTATGAGAATATGCAGATACTCCTGCAGGTCTTACTTATATATTCAAAGCAAAACAATAATTTATGCATATACATTTTACGTTATATGTGCAACCCAGTTTAACACAAACCACTGCTCTCCTGAGCCATCTAATCATATGTAATATCAGTAATATTAAGCAGTTCTGGTCAGATATTCAGTCACAGAAGAAGTATCCTTCTCCTAGAGAGATTTGCTTTATCAAACAACTTGTATCAATGATAGCATACGCTTACCGTAGATTTAACAGTTGATGACGACGAGTACGATCTTGCCTTTGTCTCTATCTCCAAAAAGCTACATATGAATAACATATTCGGTGTACTATGTCCTTGATTAATCAGATTTCAAACGTAAAAATTGAGTTTTAATATTGCATAATTCATCGATATTGAACTGATCACCGACTCTAGCCGATCTCAAAAGAATTCTGGGGCAGTGACCAACTTGGATACTTGATCGAATGGTCTCTGGCCAACAGTACTGAAGAAGGGCACGAGATTCAACTTGGACTAAGTGACCACTGGCCAGTCGACAGTTGCGCAGTGCAGGCCAACGTTCCCCGCGGATGCGCAACGTACCAGGTGAGTTATTGCTTGAAGATGGTACCATACTAACATAAAACTATAGATTCAAATAAGACCATACAATAACTACGGTAAAGGACCTGTATCGAAGATGACCGCCATGATACCTGCTTTCAAAGGTATAAATGAATTCTACACTGCAAATACGTCTAACATGATATTTCGAAATTGTTTCTTAAAACTGATGTTTCTTAAACTCGAAAGACCAGCTGTACTCCAATGCTAATATCAGGGTAATATTTCAGTGACTGTGCAACGGCCCCTTTTAAGATATCTATCATTCGCATCACTCCAGTTTTGTTGTTATTTTGAATCTTTCTCGGTCATATTTTGCCCCATGCTACCCGTCACATAGCATATTCACTTCTTACTACATTTTGTAATCTTACTTCTGCTATCCATTTCAACCCAGCTTTGGATTTATTAAAAATGAGTCAAAATATATTTGTACTCAGGCAAACTTATCGAGTTATGAAGCGAGAGATCTTTCTTGTTCGGTGATTCGAGAATTTGGTAGCAAGCGGATCCCGACATTCTGGACAACACGAACTTCGTTCAAAAGCAGTGATAGCTGATCCGAAACGTTCGTAGCATATGAGTGGAAGTAGGAAAATTGTGTAGTGAGTTGTAGCGTCGCTTGCAATTAAGATGTTCCGGGTTCGAACTGCATATCCTATTATAACTCCTAATTCCTTTAGACAAGGAATTCATCTTACTGCGTTTTCGATGCAGGTAGCCGAGAAACGGGTCACTGATTTCGGAATAAGAGACATAGCATGACACTACTGCATTATGATACATGAGCGTACGAGATATACAGCCGTGCTGTCTGATGGCCATATGACCATGCTGACAGCTGCAATTCACCGTAACTATCTAATAGAAGATTGTAGTTGTTGTTGTCGTCGTCATCTGAAGTATCAGGATCGAGGACAGAGTACCAAAATTAATAATAACTGCTTTCAGTACAAGGTGTAACCCGTTAAAATGTGTTAATCGTCTGTTTCATCAAGTGCCCCCAAACTATTTACCCAAAAAAGTTTTCCTTTGCAACACAACATTGGCAATTCAGTTTGGACCGAAAGCTCCTACCGGCTCCCCCTTTGTGACCACTTTAACTCTATACGCTAGCAACAGCTTCACAGTGGATGCATTTCAGCAACAAAAGCGCGACCTGCCACCCCATCCTCATCAGCAACCATCGTTAAAGGTATATGTATATGATAATACGAATCCTGGATAAACGATGCAGAGATGATTCATTATCAGCAATAGTTGAAGTCTACATTCCTTAGACGATTTCTTTCTAACAAACTTTAAGCGTTTCAGCTCCTTCCACTATGTATCTACTGAAACAAAAGACGATCAACTCCACGGCCGTAGTTTTCCGAGTTACGAAGAAAGATGCAAACAACTGTGAACCTGCACACCTTCAAAAAGTAGCATTATAACGCTCAAAATACAGGGGATGATTTACATGAAAGACGACGACGTAGGTTACTTACTGGCCGAAGAAGTTGCGCTGGAAAAATCGAACGCTCCATTTCAGCCTCAAACGAGATGAGGACAGCATCATTTTCACACATCTGAAAGAGAATACCGAATACACTTTCACCGTCGCAGCGATAAACGACGCAGGCGAGGGACCGTCGAGCGATCAACTGACTGTGAAAACACGTAGTCAAGGTACGAAACGCTTCTTTTACCTTTTACCATTTCCGATGGCACAGTGTGCATAAGGCAGACTTCGAACTCGAACTCCGGAAATGCTGAATTCGATTCCAGCAGCGGACAATCTTTGTCTTTAATAGGAGTTGTCTTGA